AGCCAGAATGCTCATTAGAAGCGAGGATAGCAAGACTTTGTCTCACATACTTTGGACATGTTATCAGAAGGGACCAGTCCCTGGAGAAGGACATCATGCTTGGTAAAATAGAGGGCCAGCGAAAAAGAAGAAGACCCTCGACGAGATGGATTGACACAGTGGCTGCAACAATGGTAGTATAACGATTGTGAGGATGGCGCAGGACCAGTTGTGTTTCATTCTGTTGTACCTAGGGTACAACAACTGACTTGAAGGCATCTAACAAGAACAAGAACAACAACGTGAGTCATAAATTAGATATCTGCTTGACAATATCTCTAATGCCTGCTGTATACCTCTATTTCCTTTTCTGACCAAATAATTGGAACCTATGACAAAATAATGCATTTTGCCTATTTTGAAAAAATAAAATATTTAATGGCTATATCTAAAATAAAATAAGAATATGATTGCTGGGAATAACAGAAACATGTAGATTACATTCAGAAAGACAGTAATTAGTAAGAGAATTTCCCAAATTCTCTGGCCATTTTCAGAGGCTCTCAGGTCACCAAAATCCACATCTGACATGTAGAATACTCACATTCTGTTGTTTCAAATATTTCTCATAAAACATATTGTCTATCCCTTTTCCATTCCAGTCAAGGTCTTCTAAACATATTCCACTGAGTTATTGGGTCATTGTTAAAATAGTAGGCCCAGAAGTGTTCACAATACTCCAGAAGTAGTATTCTCAATGAAGAGATGCAGAGAAATCTCATACCCTTGGGGAATGATTCTCAGACACTTTTAGCTTGTTTGGCAGCTCTGTGTCCTCACTGCTGCACCCAGTTATATATATATGTGTGTGTATATATATAGAGAGATGGAAGGAATACACAGAGTCACTCTACAAAAAGAATTGGTCAATGTTCAACCATTTCAGGTGGTAACATATGATAAGGAATCGATGGTGCTGAAAGAAGAAGTCCAAGGTGCACTGAAGGCATTGGTGAAAAACAAGGGTCTAAGAATTGACTGAATACAAATTGAGACGTTTCAAAAAATGTATGAAGGGCTGGAAGTGCTCACTTGTCTATGTCAAGAAATTTGGAAGAGAGCTACCTGGCCAACCGACTGGAAGAGATCTATATTTATGCCTATTCCCAAGAAAGGTGATCCAACCACATGCAGAAATCATTGAGCAGTATCATTAATATCATATGCAAGCAAAATTTTGCTGAAGATCATTCAAAAGTGGCTGCAGCAGTATATCAACAGGGAACTGCCAGAAATACAAGCCAGGTTTAGAAGAGGACGTGGAACCAGGGATATCATTGATGGTGTCAGATGGATTCTGGCTGAAAGCAGAGGATACCAGAAAGATGTTTACCTGTGTTTTATTGACTATACTAAGGCATTTGACTGTGTGGATCATAACAAATCATGGATAACATTGTGGATAATGAGAATTTCAGAACACCCTAATTGTGCTCATGAGGAATCTGCACATGGATCAAGAGGCAGTTGTTGAACAGAACAGTGGATACTGCATGGTTTAAAGTCAGGAAAGGTGTACATCAGGGTTGTATCCTTACACCATACTTATTCAATCTGCATACTGAGCAAATAATCCAAGAAGCTGGACTATATGAAGAAGAATGTGGCAACAGGATTGCAGGAAGATTCATTAACAATGTGCATTATGCAGATAACACAACCTTGCTTGCTGAAAGTGAAGACGACTTGAAGCACTTACCTATGAAGATCAAAGACCACAGCCTTCAGTATGGATTACATCTCAATATAAAGAAAATAAAAAGCCTCACAACTAGATCAATAAGCAATATCATGATAAACGGAGAAAAGACTGAAGTTCTCAAGTATGTCATTTTACTTGGATCCACAATCAATGCCCATGGAAGTCAAGAAATCAAAGGATGCACTGCATTGGGCAAGTCTGCAGCAAACTACCTCTTTAAAGTGTTAAAAAGCACAGATGTCACTTTAACGACTAAGGTGCACCTGACCCAAGCCATGGTGTTTTCAGTCACCTCATATGCATGTCAATGCTGGACAATGAATAAGGATAACCCAAACAAGAAATGATGCTTTTGAATTATGGTGTTGGAGAATAATACTGAATATACCATGAACTGCCAGAAGAACACACAAATCTCTCTGGGAAAAAGTACAGCCAGAATGTTCATTAGAAGCAAGGATGGCAAGACTTTATCTCACATATTTTGGACATGTTATCAGGAGGGACCAGTCTCTGGAGAAGGACTTCATGCTTGGTAGAGTAGAGAGTCAGTGAAAAAGAGGAAGACCATCAGTGAGATGGACTGACACAGTGGCTAAACAATGGGCTCAAGCATAACAATGATTGTCAGGATGGTGCAGGACAGGGCAGTGTTTCCTTTTGTTGTACATTGAGTCATTATGAGTTGGAATTGACTTGACAGCAACTAACGACAACATCATAGGAGCCCCGGTGGAGCAGTGGTTAAAGTGGTCAACTACCATCTGAAAGTCGGTGGTTCGAAACCACCAGTGGCTCTGTGGGAGAAAGATGTGGTGGTCTGCTTTTGTGGATATTTATAGCTTTAGAAACTCTATGGGGTCACTATGAGTTGGAATTGACTCTAAGGTAGCGCTTTTTTTTTTTTGGAGTATATATATATGTATTATATTCTGTATATATGTGTATATATATGTGTATATACAGATATCCTAGACTAGGCCCTCAAAGGAGATTTGTAATCAATCTATTAATATTCAGTCTTTATCAGATGCCACATAACAGCTATTCTAAGTTTCTTTTGAGCCCTGTTCTGCTACTCTTAGTAGGAAAACACCTCTTATTGCAATGAAGAGATAAACTATTTTCTGCACTTTTAAAACTGAAATTGTAAATGCTAATTCTTTGCCATTAATTATGTTTGTAAATACAAGACTCTGTATATCAGAAATTTTAAAAAGATAAGAGATGTATATAAAATAAAAATGTGAACTCTAATCATGAATAAAACATGCATTTGCATGACTGATAATTTAAGTCGAGGGGGGAAAAGAAGAAACAATGACATTTTAAAAATAGAAATCTAACCCTAAATATAAAACAATTAACATATGACAAGAAAATAATAATTACAGATGTAGAGATTAGCACAGCAGTTTATAAAAAAATAGGAGCATGAAGTCCGAGAGAAAACTTATATCCATTATTTATAATATACCTTTAACATATAGTATGAATTCTAGTAAGAAATGGATGAGTCAAAGCAGGAGAGATTTTTTTTCGGATCACAAATTTGTAAACACTGAAAAAGGGACAGAAGATCATAAGTATATATCCTTAGAGATCTTTAGAAAGCGAAAACATAACCCTATTTTTTTTAATTGTTTAAATTTCACCTGCCTTAAGGTGGAAGATGGAGCAGAGGTCTTCTGTAACCTCATGCAGTGCCAAGCAAGGCAATACACATATCCTCTGCTTTTCGAAAATTCACTTTATGCCACTTGCTACTTAGTTTTTACAAAAGACGTACATTAGTACTTATTTTTGCTAACCTAAAGAAATCCAAAGAGGATTTTCGCCTCTGTGAAAAAAAGCAAAGATGGCATTCAGCCTTCGTTTTGCAGCGAGCTGGGAAAGAGGCAGCACGCACCCTGCGCAGCGAGAGTGGCAGCGCCAAGCTTCTTCCGCAGGAACTACACTCAGTAGTTCAGCATCATGGCACCATAGCTTTCAACTGTGTCTATGAGCATCATGTTATTCTTGCTTTCACTGTATGTTAGTGTTATATTAGGTTTTGTGTGTTATTTTTATGATTTGGTAAGCTATTTTTTGGGTCTGAGAATGCTCAAAGAAATTCTCTTGCGAATTTATAGTAATTACTTCTTCGCTTTACGTCATTTCGGCTTACATAAGGTTTCATAGCAATGCTCTACTTTCGGATAGCAGGGGAAAGCTGTAATGTAAGCAAAGACAACAATGGAACCTATGTTTTCAAAAAAAGAAAGCAAAACAAAATGGCGTGAAAGAGTATAATTAGCAATATTTTTATTCTGTTTTTCTTCCTTTAGTTTTATTGTGAATAGGAGTATACAAAGGCGAGAGGAGGTGTGAGCTGGCAAACCCATAAGGAAAAAATATAAAATCAAAATAAATTATACACACACACACACACAAAAAGTTTAAAATATCCAGTGAGAGAACAATAGCATATGTTTTCCTATCTGAAGCAAAAGACCCAGTAAAACAAACCACTACACTTGAAATTCACACTTTGCTATTTTAGGGTCAAGAGTGCACACAGGCTGTAAATTATCACTAGTCAAGCTCTGAGTCTCTTCCTTCTCATGAAGGATAATATAATTCTATCAGAAGTGGATGGATAAATGCTAACAAGTGAAAAACCCAGGTTTGCCTCGCAGGAGAAAGCAGAGCCATCAGCGAATAAGAACAGTGTACTTGCCTTCTCACTGACAGTAGTAGATAAGTGTCTCAACAGGGCAAAGTTGCTCTCACATCCACTAAAGAATGTTTGCGACTTGATTTCTAACTATAGTCTCAGGACAGATTATGTGCGTGCTATCTTGTTTAGGAAGAGGAGAAATCGCTAAATGGTCTCTTGAAGCCCCATGGACCAAAACGGAATTTAAATGATTATAATCAGTAGAGAAATTATGTACAACACCAGCTGTGAGTTCTTGTCTAAAGGACAAAAATAAACTATGGGATTACTGACTACAACAAATCTGAGAATGCCAAAGAAATGCAGAATAGTCATTCAAAAAAATCTCCCAGGGTTTCCAACAAGTATCAAACTAAATAACTGAATTTCTCCAATAGTGAACTGCTAAATTTGAAGGAAAGAGTCCCAAAAGACACATTTTAAAAGCTACATAGTCAGCTTTGAAAATTTCCCTTCTCTTACCCTCAATGCAGTGTAAATTTACAGATATAGATCCTTGAACTGAACACAAATAGCCACAAGGAAAAACAGCATTTCCCTATGCTGCTTTTTAAGTGTTTTGCTAAAATCAAAAGCTGTTTATAAATAATATGATTTTCATTTTTGGAAGTAGAAATAAACATTGCAAATAAATCATCAAAACTAGTAATGAAACCACGGAAAAAATCAAAATCTTCAAAACACCACAATAAGATAAAAATGACAATCCACAGAATTTTTTTATATGATTAAAAATGATAATATACAGTATTTTTATTATTAAAAACAAATGTGTGGTTTTTACTCATTCATTTTTAAAGAATGGAAACATGTATAAAAGTGGAATATACATATCTAAAGAAGTAAACCTAGAGACAAATATGAGCAGTAAATGCCCTTGATTGCAACGAAATTAACAGAAGGATTTTCAAACTTGACAGGCACATTGAATGTGAATTAGTGTGGGGCTATGTGCCATTAAAATATGGATGTATAAAGTCCTCTATGCTGCACAACATGTTGAGACTTGTCCCCAACATGTTGAGACTTGTCACGACTTGTTTTTCCAAACCCGTTACTGATTGGCTTGTTTACCTGAATTCCTCCTCCCTTGCCCGAAACTTATTGTTATTCACCCAAAGCCCATTGTTCTGTTATTTGCTTCACT